TGACCAGGAGGATGAGGAGGGGAAGGCGGAGGAGTCTGAGGCAGCGCCAGGTGACTCACAACAACCTGCACACACACACACACACACACACACACACACACACACACACACACACACACACACACACACACACACACACACACACACACACACACAAAATTGCATCCACATATCCAGTCCCCTCCCCCCTCCTGTCTTTCTCCTTCTCGTTCTCCTTCTGTCACACACACATAAACTCACTCTCCTTTTGTTCTGCTCACACAACAACACACAAACTCCCTGGGCCTTCTCGTCCTCTCTTCTTCTTGCTTTATCCCTCACACAAACAAAAACCCTGAGCGCCTGCAGAAACAAACAGCGGCAACTGAGTACACCTTTCTGAGAAAAGATGTCATTATCCACCGCAGAGAGTTTTCTTTGCAGCTTGCCACGCTGCAGCTGCAGATTGGTTTTGGTGAATCGTGCAAACCACTGATCAAAGACTTTGCTTGTGTAGGCTTTAGCCAGCTCTTGGCCCACTGCAGCTGCTCTCCCTGCCTCTAGATGTGTCGTAAACTATAAAGCACAAAATAAAAACAGCATGAGAACCCCCCCCCCTCCCATATATGTATCTGGTCTCTCTGCAGCAAAGAAGAGGTTTGCATTGTCAGAAGAGACAGACCTTGAAGCCACTACAGAGGAGAGCATTGAGTGCGTCTCTTCATCAGACCTGGAGAAGAGCAAAAAGGACGAGGCCCTTGGAACAGAAGGGAAGGTAAAGTAAAAGTTGTCCTGATCGTTTCAGTGTCTCTCATTCAAAGCCCTGCTATTGTCTCACTCAACAGGAGCTTTTATAAATGCAGCAGAGATGAAGTGACCACTAAAAAGTGTGATTTATTGATGCCTCTTGCACTGCACTGTATGACACAGCAGCTGAAATGCAGGGCGGCAACTGAATATTTTTCATTATCAATAAGTCTGCCATTTATTGTCTCATTTAATCAATAAATCATGTCATCTGTGAAGTCTCAGTAGAAACGACCTTTTCAAAGCTCTAAACAATCAACAGCTCAAAAGCCAAAAATCCTTCCATTTACTTTCACACAGGACTAAAACGAAAACAGTGTGTTTTCACATTTCTAGGAGCAACAGCCTTTTAATGATTGTCATTTCTGCTTAAAAAATGACTTTAAGCAGCACTCCACTGAGTGAACATATCAAGTTTAATTTACTCGTTATGGTAAATACCACTCAACCTGTGAAAACAGTTGTGTAATATCCTCTGTGGCTGCGGAGGCGATTTCTTAAAGTTAGAGCAAATAACCTTGATGTTGTCATAGTGATGTTTTCAGTTTTAGAAATTACACATTTATAAGAGAAATTCTGCTTTAAAAACAGAGATGTGGAGTTTGAAAGACACTGTGGCAGGGACGGTCAAATGAAAGAAGTTATTAAATTGCTTTATGGGAAATGTAGGATCTAGTGTTATCTTGGCCTCCACTGCACAGACTATGACTGTCCACTTTTTTTAACCTGTTTCTTCTTCCATCTTTATGAACCTGCAATGCTAAATAGGTGGAGTAGCTCTTTAAATGATTATCAAAATAGCTGCAGATACATTTCTGTTGTTTGACTCATTGATTAATCCACTAACCCTAACCCACATCGTTTCAGCTCTACAACAATGCAACACCAAAAACATTTTTCATGGCAATTAGTCCGGCTGGACTGATTAATTCAAGTTAACTCCAACCAGAGCAAAGTTATTGATTTTAATATGTTCATCCTACTGAAAGATACATCTGAGGACCAACAGGATGTATTTTGGCAGAGATATTTTCCTATATTTTTTTGCAAATATTGATCTAAAAAGTCAGAAATGTCCTGTTAATTAATAAATCTGGGAGGCTCACAGCTCACAGAGGGGCATGAAGAAAGTTTGGCCTCATAAAAACTTAAAGATCAGAAAACATCACTGACTAACGTATAGCGAGCACATCATGTCTTTAAGGGTTGGTTGTGAGGAAATGCTCCACAAGGCTCTTCAATATTGATGGGGTCATATTGTTGATGAAAATACAGAATGGTTTTCTAGTGCTGCTCTGCTAATTCTGCCATGTTGAGCAAGCAGCTATCTCTGCAGCGATCTCTGATATTTGTCAGCTCATTTTCTAACCAAGTCTCTGTGGTGGTGGCGGCTTTAATACTCAAGAGAGAAAACTAGTGTCGTTCTCTTGAGGAGTTAATTTGTTTGAAATGAATAGATACTACATCCAATTACACAGTTAAATGAGAACAAATCAATTTTTTTATATTTTCTTTTTTTTTCTGCCAAAAACCGTAGCATGTTCAGATATCAAATGCAATTTCTTTGTCTCCCATGAGTACTCAGAAAGTCAAGTGTCCTTCACAGTTTAGTAATATTGTGGCCACCAAATTGATCTCCCATCTCAGACTTGACTGATAAGTTGTGTCCTTCATGTCTGCTCTTCCAGCAGCAGCAGTCAAATGTAATTGTGAGAGTCATAATTCACGTGTGGTCAAACCAACTAACAGCAAACCCATACAGACAATCTATAGATCCATTTATAGATTCCACTGATTAAATCCCCATTAAAACACCATCTTCACAGCTAGATTAATGAGTCCACATGGTACTTTGTATTAGACCAGAGATTTGTTTTGACATTTGACATAGCAGGGGTCATCCACCAATCAGAAGGTTGGTAGTTTGATTGCCGGCTCCTCCCATTCACAAGTGGCAAAACTACAATAAGGTGACCTGATTTCTGAAATGAAATCTGGGGATATTTCAATGGTTGATATATCATTAACATAGTCATAGGTTTTATCTATGAGATAAAAAAACAAAAGGGAGACAGCCCTGGTTTCATGTATTTTGACCATGGTAACTGTTGAACTGTAATAAACTGCCAACTGATATAATTAGTAGGGTTACAGTCCAGCAAAATAGTCTTACAATAGCATGCCCTAAATGGAAACTAAACTGGACAAGCTTTGTCCCTTTTTTTTAAGACTCAGATTTAAGTTCAAATCTATGGAAGATGAAAATTACAGGTTAGACAGTGCGATTTGTATGAGTTAAAGGAAACCCTGCTGTTCTGCCTCAGCCTGACTGTCACGTTATGTTCCACTACACGAACAGACTCACGACCAATTAGCTCGGCCAATAATTTCGTCGTTTTCGCTATTTTTCTACATGACGCTTAAACAATGGGAGCAAAAAAAAAATACAACAAAAGGGGGCTGTCGACCACTTTAAAGCACGTGCACAGCCGCCTAGGATCAAGTATAAAGATATACATGTTTAAGCTTGTGTCAGTATTGACATGCTACACGCCGTTAGCTCGGATTGATTCTCCACAATTCAACTGTCGAGTTCATGTTAGAGAAACCAAGAGCACAAAGGTATAATTCATTCAGATTTACTAGCATCATCAACTAGCAAGACATGGTAGCTAATGGTGGTGATCCCTACCTTTTTCAAGTCCTGAAGTCCGATTGTCTCGAACGGACTTCTTGTCTCAATTGTTTATATTCCTTTAGTCCGTAAGGGTCCGGCGATCAAAAGAATGAAGAGGGTTTTCCATAAAAGTATTCCAGGTTGTGATTATTGTTCATGTGAAGTCCACTGCAGACCCTCAACCAACTTCTTCCGTCTTCTTCACTTCTTCCAACATGAAAACAGTTTTTTCAAGAACCGGCTGTGGGGCTTTGGGAAAGTTGTTTCGGTACTTCGGTTAAGATCTCCCAACCAATGAGTGAGCCAGCTTACCTTTTCTCTACCTAGCGACAAGAAAAAAGAGAATGTGATTGGACAACTCCATTATGAAGGTTTTCATTTTGCCCTTGCTACAGCCAGCGGCCAGCCCCCAAGTTGCTAAATAAGGCAACAGTTTGGTAACGCATTAGCTATATCTGCTTAAAGGGTGATAATATTTCAGTTCTGTACATTTCTGAGGGTGGGAAGTTAATTCAAGATTTTTCCATCTTCGGTGTATACACTGCAGTATAAAATAATTTACAGGGGTAAAATGTCAGTAAATGTCATGCTTTGGTGTCAGCCTGTAAAAATTAAACACCAAGCTCTCATCTCACAGTTCACCTTTGAATTCAAGTAAAAAATCTATCACAGAAGCAAGTAGCAATACAAAATCCTCCACCAGCAGCAGCCACAATAGAGCAACTATGGCTTCTTTATTGATCCTCGTTTGGTGTGAAATACAGCTGTCTCTTTTTATTTATTTTTTATCGTACAACTTGACACAGTAGATGTATCATTGATCTCTCTCTCTCCTCAAAAGCACACAACGATTCACCCTGTCCATCTGAACTACAGTAGCCCTGAATAGTGGAACTTCAGGCAAAGTGTTACACATACTTTATTGAGGCTTCATCACAAAATTCATATCAAGTAGTTTGAGTATATGTCAATGTATTTTTTATTTTTTTTCTGTCAGGATGAAAGCAGACAGCCTTGTTGCCGCCAGTGCAGCATCACTTTGCAGGCTGGCAGAGACAGACTATTAAACCACTTCCCTAGACATGTTTCTACACACACAAGCTTTCATATATTTTTCTTTCCACTTTTACTCCATTATTTAGGATTGTTGGCTTTCATACCCTGTACTTTACTTTTAATTCCATCTACTGTACAGCCAATACACGGCCATATGTACTCTTGCTGTGATATGTTGTCTTTTGTTTAGAAATGTGCATGATTTTTGTTGTTTGGCAGCATCACCCACTGCTGTGGAGGTTTTCCACTGCACCCTTCAGGAATGACATATAGGCTATCAAGTTCAGGACTGTGACAGCTTTTTTCTTGTATTTACTTTTGATGAAACTTGAATATCTATGAGTGGTGCAGTTATCAAGCCTTAATACAAATATCAGAGGCTTTCACATTACTGTGATTTTTTCATACAGTTAGAAATAGTAAAGCCCAATTTGCTCTCATCTCTGCTGTAGGTGTCTGATGACCCATCTTTTCTGCTGAGCTCTCCTGTCCTTGGGGCTTCTGTTTCGGGTCAGTTGGCGGCAGAGGCTCCCTGCTCTGCGGAGCACCAGGTCCAGCTCCTTCAGAAACAGCTGCAGCAGCAGGAGCAGCAAGCACTGGCAGCTTCAGCACAGGTACTGAGGACAATAGACAGATTGTTTTCTTTCTTTAACTGGATACACTTTCCACATCTAGTATATTTTTCTCTTTCAGTTTAATAAATTAAACCTTTTATGCAGTTATAAATCTGTGTCACACATGCAAGAACTGACAGCACACAATCTGCATAAGACACAATGCACACCTAATACCAATCACAAATATACTACTCATAGACAAAACTCAACTGGAAATATATAAACAAACAAACAAAGACACCCTCAATCATTTACCCCAAGTGGAATTTAAGTGTACATGAAAATACCCAAATCATTACTATTATTGGAAACTTTGTGTTGCCTAAGATGAAACATAGTGAAACAAAAATCTGGCAGTAAAAAAAACAAAAAAAAAAAACACAAGACTCAGTTTCATTTAATCTGGAGGATGATAATTGGAATGATGCGCTATTTCCATTTTCAATCAGTGGTGTGTTAAATAGGATGTGACGAGGTATTTCAGGTTACTTTTTATCTCTTTCATCCCTCTAAACTTTTACATGAACTTTTGAACTGTTTCACATCAAATTAAATGAGCCTGAGCTGGAGTTTCCAGGATGTTGAAGATTTGAAGCAAACCTTTTTTGAGTGCTAGAGTTTCTCTCTTACTTTGGCCAGTCTCATTGAAGTTGATTCATAATGCTGACGAGTTAAAAGACACCATGGAACTTTATCAGTAAAGTCTCTTCAACAACAGAAGGTAAAAGAAAATAATAAAAAAGGAAAGAATCGCTGGGAAGTAATAATGAAACTTCTGCATGTTTTGGGTTTGCACACAACAGTTTCTGTTTGTATTTCTCGTGCATGTATGTGTGCAACTGTGTGTGTGTTTTGGTCTGTTCAGGTTCATGTGCTCCAGGAGCAGCTGTCAGTGGAGGTGTGTGCACGGACCGAAGCCCAAGCCAGAGTGCAGAGGCTGCTGCAGCAGAACACCGACCTGCTGCAACACATTTCCCTGCTGGTCAAACAGATCCAGGAACTGGAGCTCAAAGCTGCTGGCCAGTTAACATCTAGTGGGTGGAAAACTTCAATTCTTGACTTACCCTAATCTTCCTTTTCCATTTACAGTATATATCTTATTTTGTTTGATTGCCTTGAATCTTCCTCCATATCCCTGTTTTCTCCTTTACAAATTTCTTCCATAAAGTAATTCTTTCTCTCCCTTCATCTATTTTCTCTTAATCAGTTTCCTTGCCTCTTTCTCCTTCCTGTCGTTATGCCTCCTTTTCTCATCCACTTCTGGCACACAATTAATTATCCCATGGCAGCCCTCTCAAAGGATTCAGTACTGCTCTCTGCTCTCTCCTCCCTGCATCTAGCTACTGGCAATACGCTGCCATACAGTCATGAATTATCAAATCCTGTCAGCACAGACGTCAACCCACTCTACATAATCTCATCTGCTTTGCTCAGACCTCTCTTCTGACATGTCTTATATCTCTGCTTACATGTGATAAGTAAAATTCGTTCTGTGGTTTGTTTCATCCTGCAGATGTGTCTCTAACTCTTTCTGTGTTTTGATTCGTCTTCAGTGGGCTCCCAGGACAGTCTTCTGGAGATCACTTTCCGTGCCAAGCCCCCCAGCGTCCCCCGTGAACCCCTCACTCCTTCTTCATCTACAGGCCCTTTAGCAGCTCAGTCCCAGCTCCAGATTAGTGACAGTGCCTGGGTCTCCGGCCTCCCCGGGCCCTGCTCTCCAGGCACCATGGGCACCGACACCAGCCCTCTGGGGCTCAGCGGCAGTGGGGTTCGACTCGAGTGCTTTCGTTTCTCCTCCCGGGGGCCGGACGGCCAGGAGCAGGGTCAGGACACGGGGGAAACCCCCAGCGACGGAGCACCGGATGAGAGTTCGCTGCTGGGGGAGCAGGTCCTCGGAGCCCTGGAGCTGCTTCGGTTTAGGGAGTCCGGGATTGGATCGGAGTACGAATCGAACACAGATGAGAGTGATGATCGGGACAGCTGGGGGCAGGGCGAGGGCGTGGGGGGAGACGGTGCAGCCCGACTCATAAATGTGCTGAATGCAGAGAGTCTGCCGGACTGCTTAGGGGATGAGATGGCTGTGTAGTGGTGCTCTGAAAGCTGTGCTAGGCCACCCCAATGGCAAACAGGTGAAATTCAGAATCTGAAGAACTTCATCACACAGAAATCATGTATTGTGGCATAAGTAAACAGCATCATTTGCAGGAATAAATAGTTTGTGGCTGGTAGCTGGACAGAGCGCTCGCTCACCACTGGTGTGGCAAAAGTTTTGAATGGTCACTTCCTTCGCACTGACAAGGTGTCCCGCTTGTATGAGGTGGAACTCATGAAAGGAAACAATGAAAATAGAAATCCTGAAAACTGAATGAAAATGATACATTTATTCCATAAAGGAGCTACTTCTTAAGTTTTGCTATTGCTAAATAGCCAGCGTTAGCATTAAAACCTGTTCACTTACCAGTCTAGTCAAACTTCTTTCCTTTACTCCCCGCTCCGGAGGTGGAAAGGAACGCCAATGTTAACGCTTGTCTCCATCACGTCTTTTCTTCTACTGAGGTTAGCGCGCTAACCAGCTAGCCCCGGCCTGTCTCATCACTTTCCGATAACGACTCACTGTAGCCTCCAGTCCGCCCTGAAGACATGGAACTGCTCAGAGGAAGTATCATAACCTCTTCTCTTGTCAAGCGACAATCACCACCACCCGCACCCAGCAAGAAACCATGTTCGGCGGCAGAGAAAACTTACAGATATCTCCATTAAAATTTAAGATGACTCGATTGCGACATTAATGATTTCATCAAAATAAACTTGATCTTATCAAATTTGAAAAATCATTATGATACATCACCAATGACTGACAAGTTAGCAAGCGCATGTTCAATTCTCACACCAAATAAAACTACAAGAAGTAAGGATAATAACCTCTAGCCTTCAGACACGTCATATTAAATCAAACTGATTTTTGCCAAACCCTTAATGTTTTTATTAAAATAAATGTAAACAAGACTAAGAGTCGTTAACATTTACCATGTTCACCATCTTACTTTAGGCATAAGTAGGTATGACGTTAATTATCACAGAGCAAATGTATCAATCCAGTCAGTGATTAAATCTTCATGAGCTCCACTCTACATACACTGGGCATTATTTTCTGTGAAAAAAAAAAAAGACGCACTTCTAGAAAAGAATTTGGCACATTACAGCTTTATTCAAACCTGTCAGACAGTTTAAACACTGTGGTGTTTCAGGCTCTGTCCGTCTCTCAGCCGTCTGTTAATATATATGTTACATACTGTGTGTTTGTGTGTGTGTGTGTGTGTGTGTGTGTGTGTGTGTGTGTATGTGTGTGTGTGTATGTTTGTGTGAGTCTGATGACTGTTGTACCTACATACATGTGGCCTCCTGACTCAGTGCCATCGCCACTTTGCTGGGCTCGTTACACTGTGGTTGTGTCTGTGTTTTTGGATTTGTGACACATGGACATGGTCGTTTTATCTCGTATCTAATGAAGATCTATGGAGAAAAAGAAGACATGCTAACACATTTTTTTGGAGTGTGGAAAATTAAAACATTGCTGTGCTTGCTATGACACTTAATCTGTAAATTACACTTGGGTTTAAAAATGAGCATGCATCTGTCAGTCCGATTTTGTCTCTTTTCAATACATTGTATATAGTTTGATTAACCTTAATGCTTTGGCATGATTTTATTCCTACTTTTCTTCATCCTTTTATTGAAGAACATTTTCTGAATAGGTGTAGTTGTGTCTCAGAGGGAAACATCTCACTGTGTGCAGGTGCTGCTACAATTCTGTCTCTGTTGCTTAAAGCTGTAGCCACCTCGTACTGTAAGTATTATTTATTAATGCCGTACTGCTGCAGCGATAAACTGCTGCATCACTGTTGCTCCACCCTTCAGACAAATTGTGTGGAAAGTCCTTTAGCACCCATTCAGGGAAAGGTGGAGGCTTATAAGAAACTTCTGCAACCTTTCAACGCCAGCTGTTCTACCAGCTCCACCACGCTGACAGTGAGCCAAGTCTTTCAATCACTGAATTGAGGACATGTCTTTGAGCTCTTTCCAAAAATCGATTAATCTCTTCCTGGCCCTCCTTTTTCCCCCCTCCTCTCCTCTCCCTCACTCACCTTCCTCCCCTCTTTTCCCCGAAGCTAGTCACCTCTTTCCCACTCTCTTGCACTCACAATCTGTCTGCTGTATCCGTCAATCCATATCGGATTTTTCCAATCTCTGGCGTTTCCCGTTTCCCTCCAAGGTTATGTCTGTGTGCTAAAAATGAAAGTGCACTTACATCAGTGTTTCTCCTTGTGGAATTAAATGCCCTTTCTCAAATGCCGTGTGGTGTCATGGTATGTCCAATGCATTTGGTGTGACTTACTAATTGCTGAAATGTGTGCAGGGGTGATTTAAACCAAAGTATGTCTCTAAGATAATGATAAGCAGCACCACTTCCTGGGCTGACCTTTCCAAAATGTTTTCCTCGTTACTATTTATAACTCCTTGAGAAAATGGGATGTGGGCATGCAGAAGGTCTTTTGTGAGGGTGATGTCTCTCTGTTATCGTCTGAGATACACCAGCTGTGGTCATTAAAAAGGGTCAGCTCACATTAAGCTCCCTGTGTGTGCTTACAGTAGCAGCTTGATGCAACGCTGCAGATAAGCTGGAAAATATGAAGAATATCAGCCATTACCCACCCACATCCAGACACGACACCCTGCAGCTCCACTAGTACAGCTGCTGCTGACACAGATAGTGGGCGGCCTCCTAGAGTTGGCCTCTACTTTCATTTGCCTGAATATAATGAAAAATGGACTGTAGTGTCATTCTGCTCACCCCCTCCTGAATCTATATCAGTGTTTTTGCTTTGTATCCTGTAGGTCAAATAAATTCAACAAACATGGTTTCACAGTGAATGCAGCGTTGCGTTTATCTCTTGGTTTGGTCTTTTTAGCTAGACTCTCCAAGAATTTTGGGACAAAATTTTACACAGACATTCTTGGTTCCCAGATGATGAATCCTGCTTAATTTGCTAATCCCCTCTAGCGCCACCATGAGGTTGAAATTTGTGGTTTTGAGTGAAGACTCTCAGCAAATGTTGCATGATGATAGAAATTTACTGCAACCAGTCATATTTCCAACAGGATGAATCGTAATAACTTTGGTGATCGCTCAACTTTACCTGTAGCACGATCATCATCAACATCAACATCAAAATTACCATTCATCCGAGGGCACTACTAGGAAATGGTAATAAGCTAACACATAGTGACAGTAGTTCACATTACCTGCTAAACATCAGCATATTAAAGGTGCCCTGTTGAATCAGACAAAAGTTATGTTTACATAATTCACCAAAACACATTGAGTGTGTTGAGCATTAACAAACATGTTGAATGCATTTTCAAAGCTGATTTTGAGCATTTTAAATCCAGCTTTCCTTTCACTCTGCCGTTTTAGCACCCCTTGTTAATTTTTGAAGTGAAAATAGGTAAATACAACTCCTCCATTAAAATATCAGCCTTGCTTGAAATATTAATGCACTGTCACTTTTTATTTCATGAACTTAAAAAAACAAAGAAAACAAATAAATATAACAGTAATTTTGGCATGTGCAAAAGTTTGAGCACCCTTCTACCTGTTAACACTGTGGCCTAAATCAAGAATCATCATTAGGAAATGTCAGCTGATGATAAATTCTCTGAGTCTTCAAACCTCTAAGCTCCTGACTGAGGATCTGAAATGAAGCTAATTGATGCTATGAAGCAGGAACAGACAATAAAAAGATATGTAAGTGCTTCCAGTTTGCACTTCCCACTTTTCCACAGTTAAAGGCAGCAGCGGAAGTGAAGACAAGATCTGGAAAAGCAAGAAACATTTCAGATAAAACTGCACCTCTGCTGGGTTGAAAGAGCACGTTTATGACTGCAAAGGAGCTGTACAATAAGGTTTGCTGACACAGGAGAGGCGGTGAACCGTTCACCTAGCAGATGAAGTTAAAACTGAGCTTTTTGGCCACAATCACAAATGTGTTTTTGGTGATAAAAGGAGCAGCATTTAAATTTAAAGAACATCTTGTCGACTGTTCAGCACGGGGGTGGAAATATTCTGCTTTGGTGTTGTGTGGACACCAGTGACACAGGAAACACTGCACAGATAGAGGGAGGAATAGATTCTGGATGCCAATGTAATGCAGTCAGTCAAGATGGTGACACTGGAAAGAGGCTAGCTTCTACAACAGGACAGTGATCCAAGGCAAACCTCAAAATCCACATTATCTTAAACATGCTGTGTCTGCAAGACAACCGAAATTTCTCCAAACTTAAAGTGATCTACAGAGTGGGTTAAAATTCCTAAATTAAGAATAGAAATAGCATTTGCAAGCTGTGATATCTATCTATCTAAGGGGGGGTTGCTAAGTGCTAATTTAGTAGGGTACGCAAATGTCACAATTACTTTTTGTTGTTGTTGTTGTTGTTTTTTTATGCCTCTGCACCAGGACCAGAGGCTTTTGTTTTTGGGTTATCTGTCTGCAATATCTCAGTAACGCCTTGAGGACATTTCTTCAAATTTGGCACAAAAATTCATTTGGACTCAATGACAAACTGATAAGATTTCGGTGGTCAAAGGTCAAAGGTCAGTGTGGCCTCACAAAACATGATTTTGGCCTTGTGAATGCGATATCTCTTCAAAGGAATCTCCTCACATTTGGCACAAATATCCACTGGGACTCGAGGAAGAATTGATTCGATTTTGGTGGTCACGGGGAACAACTATTAATGTTGTCATTGTGAGCATGTTAGCATGATTACATTAGCATTTGGCTCAAAGCGCTGCTGTGCCTTGGCTTCAAGGAGCTGCTAGCATAAACTCTTAGCGTTAACCTGATTTCCCTGTAGGCTACATTATGACATCTGTCATTCTTCCAGTTAGACTCACCACCTGTTTGGATGATATTCGAGCTCTGCTACAGATGTGAGAGAGCCTGTGAGCCACCAGCTTCTGTCTCTGTTCATTATATATCCATGAGTACCTGAGGCAGGCTGCAGCTTTTATGATGACTCATGAATCTTTTAATCTCTCTCGCTCTCTTCCTGAGGAATAAGTGATACTCCATCATGGTCTGCTTTAATAATGAGAGACGGTCATATTTCATGATGGCAGAACAATTTCTTAGAATGTGATTATAGGAATATTCTGATATTTTGGGAAATACACCACTCTCATGTATGTGCGGTAAATATTTAGTTGGAGCCGGTAACCAAAGGCTAACAACATCCACCTACCACCCATGTGCACTAAACATGAACCAACAGTACATCCAGCAGCTAGCTGGTTAGCTTCACTTAGCAGCTATCTATGCTAAGTAAGCTATGTAAGCTAACCATCTTTACGCTAAGCTTCCAGTAGTAGAATGAGAATATCTTGCCTGGCTAATTTCTGTCTTTGTACTAGCTAAGGTTTATATTTAGCATACAGACATGATGTTGACCTTCTCATCTAACTCTTGGCAAGAGTTCAAAGTATTGTGGTATCAAAAAGTATAAAACCTAATGTGTGTGTGGTCTTGAATATACAGTCGCACTGAAAGTCTTTAATCGTCTTATTTTTCTTTTTTTTCTGTTTCTTTCCTCCAGCCACTACATTTACATCAGCCTTTGTTTTCATACATAACATCCTGGAGGAAGCCATTACTGGAAATGTGTGTTGCTGCTGCAGCAGTTTAAAGCAACTGTCAAACATCTTCAGTGTTCAGTTCTGTGTGTTTAATTCAAACCAGTTTCAGGTTCTTAAAAGTAACTGAGGACATGATACTGAAAACATAACATGATCTATAAGTGTCCGTATAAATCTTTGTATTTTAAGCTTATAGTTAAGAGACATCTAGGCTTAATTTAAAATACATATTATGCGCTTTTCCATGGTATGAAAAAAAATTTGATTCACACTTGATTTCTCATAATCAAAGCAAGCTTCTGCCTTTTGCTTTTACCCACTGTGTTCATTTTACTTTTAATGCCAGGCATGACTCATCTTGTTTGTATCCAGTGATAGTTTTTTTTCTAAAACATCATGTCTCCTTCAGTAATTAGCAGGTTCTCCTCTGCAGGAAAATGAACTCCACTCTGTTTTTGTCAGCAGCTCTTGGTGGACGTTGCCAGATAACTGCTGCTCTCAACTGCCTTTGCGGGACATAATTGAAACCATTTGTGGATCAGGTGGAATTCTGGGATTCTGGCTTCATCTCAACATCCCAAGTGTGTTATTTTCTCTCCTTCTTTCCTCCAGCCAGTTACATCAGCCTTCGTTTCCTCTCCTTCTCTCCCTCTCTCTCCCTCTCTCTGTGTCTCTCGCTCTCTTTTTTCCATTCCCAGAAAGTCCTTCAGAGGAAGAGGTCAGCAACTTGCAGTGCTGAATGCATCAACTCACAGTAGATGTGGAATATTCCCTGAGACAGATGGTTTCATAATAACGAGAGAGGAACTTGTGAAAGTAAGTCAACTCCATATTTTTCTCATATGTGAATATTTACCCCAGTGTCCACGTTGACTCCGAAGGAAGTTCGTGTCGGCTCAGTTCAGTATAGAGAGTGACATCACAAAAGGACATACATCCCACAAGTTTAATAACATCACAATAAGTGTAAGGGATACATCTGTCTATACAGAGGATAAGAGGGGTAAGATAGTGTAGCTTTACTTGTATTATATTACCACTAAAGTAGCTGTTACACCAGAAAGTTAGTCAGTGATCATCGATGCATTTCAGGCACAACTTTTACTGGTGTGATTCAGTATGTTAAATTTAGTGGATAATGTTCCTCCATTTCCTTCTGTGTTTGTATGAAAAAAAAAACTAATTGCAATGCGCTCTTAGTAAGTACACATCACACCGGCACAGACCCACACTGTACCACCAATTTTTTGGTGACCGCGCCACGTGAATGGGAGTAAGTGCACTTTCTGAGCAGTGGACTAAGTTAAGTGAGTTCAAGGTGCAAGTCACTGAGACCTTCACAGTGCTTCTACAAGGTAAATAAAATAAGAGCTCATACTGCAGGTACTGTGGTGGGAGAGAGCAGGACTCTGGGTTACAAGGGGGACTGTGTGTGTGCATTTACCTCTGCAGATCCCACCAGAGTTTTGGGGATATTCAGCTTCATTGAACCATTTGTAACATCCTATTATTATTTAAATGTAGCTGTAATTTTTGATCTTTGAATTTCTATCTTTCCTATTTTGTTTTTCTAATTCTTATCTTTACTCTTAATCGTATTATTGTTATTTTATAATAATCATAATGTGCTCTTGTCTTTGAGCACACCCTTAAGAACACGCTTCTCTTCGTTTCAGTATACATATCAATTGTGTATGTGACAAGTAAAGTCTCTGACTCATCCTAAATATAAATATAAAATACGGGTTGTGCTGTGGAAAATTTGTTGATATGATATATGAAAACTTAAATAACATCTTACTTTGGATTACTTTGATGTTTACACTCAGCTTTACTACTCATCTCGCTCACTGATCTACACCCATCCTGAAATGTTTAGGTGTGCAGCTCCTTGAGAAGAGATGAAGGTCATGGAGATTAAACTGATCACACATCATGTCTTCTTTATCCTGCTGGCCGCCACTGCAAGAGCTCAAGTCAACCCAGGTAGATATTTGTCTTTTACATACATGTCCCTTTTTTCTCAGAGCAGGTGGGCGTTTGGTGGGACACTTCGGATGTTGCAGGGATCACACCTCAGATGTTTCTTGAACCGCTGGTCCACCCTGCTCATTGCACGTGCAGTTGAGCAATCCACGATAGAACGAGTTGAGTTTAGTTCACAGTGTGTGATCAGACCCTGAGGGATGAGCCAGTCCATGTGGATATGTCATATTCAAGCTTAAAATAACTTCTTTATATTCCTGAGGGATAGGCATGTTGACAAGATGGAGAAGGAAAGCAATTTTAGGTGGGTGGGCTTAAAATGCAAGAATGTAACGTGTGTGTTTTTGTGTGTGTGCGCTTATGAGGGTGCGTGTATGCGGTTTACCTAATGGTCAGACAGCAAATATCCTCAGAACAGGCAGACCTTTCACAAGCAGGGGGCATTCGCAGAAAAAAAAAAAAATTTAGGCTAGTTGTAGGTAACACACACACACACCTACTCTCTCTCTCTCTCTCTCTCTCTCTCTCTCACACACACATACACACACACACGCACACACACGCACTCATTTGACTTTTCCACATAGAATATTTTCACAGTAAAAGGCTTATTTGTTCTGCTGCACTCTCAAAGCACATGTCAAGGAGTTCAGTGGGACTAAAACACAGACGTCCCTTAATTACCAGGTAGTGATGGTGAGAATAAACAGTATTACACACTGGAGAGTGCAGTGAGCAGCTGTACGGTACAGTCACTGAATCATATCAACACTTAAAATGTAGCTACTGTCATTTTCAAACTTGCTTTTTTTTTTTTTTTTTTTTACATGGGAACAAAGGTGAGAAATGTGAGACACTTTGAAAGTCAAAAAATTCTCTCACGTGTCTCTGGTAGAAATTATGGGATGAAAATGAAGAGCAGGCAGCGCTGAGGCCACTCCCTTCTCATTTTGCTTAGACTGGCACCTACACAGTGATGCCTCTGTTTGGCTTTAGAGGCCTTGCAGGGCTGCAGGAAAGGGGACCAGGGGGGAAGGGACGGGCCCGGACCACTTCACACTCACCTCCTCATATCCTGAAAATACACAATAAGAATATGGCATGTGAAAGTGTACAGCTTAACACGTAACACATAAGAGACATATTCGAAATATGAGCAGCATGTGGATCTGTGACGCTTCATGTGTTTGTAGAAATGTGTCGCTATCCTCTTGGTATGACCGGTGGGCAGATTCAGGACGAGGACATCTCTGCCTCCAGTCAGTGGTCCGAGTCAACGGCTGCAAGATTTGGCAGGCATGTTGGATTATGCATTTCTCTTCTTTTATCTCAATTCCACGTGATTTACATTGAGCGACGTCCACAGCATGCAACGTGATAATCTGTGATCATCTGTGAAGTTCTGTTTCTTTTTAATTGAATCTCCTCTGCTCTGCCCTGGTGGCCAAATTCTTCCTCTGTTTATTCCAAACTAACCACTGCCCTGGCTTCATTACATCTTGCATGCACACAAGATTTTTTTTTTTTTCCACCAGAAGCCTCCCTTAGACTCTGGGTTTCAAAGAGCATCTGTGAAAGCTGTTCTGGAGCTTTTGGTTCAAATCACACGACCTTCATCAGCAGATGAAAACAGAGCAAAGTGGACTTTGAGGTGTTTGTTTTTGTCAGTTTTGTCAGTTGCTCTTTCCAAATATAAATGCAATGTTAGGGTTAAAACTGGGATTAGGTGGGAAACTCACTTATTCTCTTTCTTTCTTGAGATGAAAAGATTGATACCAGTTTGAAGCTGGAGCCAGCAGCCACTTACTTCAGCCTATGTGAGAGTTCGATGCACTGGCTACATGTAGAATAGTTATAGTGCTGTTTTTTTACAATATGACCAGTGGCAATATAGAATAGTCGAAGATGTTCTCATGCGGATATGAATTCATTAACATAGGAAAGACCGCACTTACTGTAGTAGATTAAGTTCACCAACTAATTTTCTCGCCTCATATATTCTCTCTACCTTCTACTTTCTTTCCTCTCCTCTCTTCCTCTCTATGTTCATGCCTCTTCCCGCTCTACCTGAACTCTTTGCACTTCCTCTCCCATCACCGTCTCCTCTCTCGTGTCTTCCTCCTCTTCAGACTTGACTTTGACAACGGAGACGGCGATGGGGCCTGGTGCCCTGACATCATGTCAGAGCCGGACGGCCACAAAGAGTATCTCCAGGTGGACCTGCGCTCACTGCACTTCATCACACTGGTGGGAACCCAAGGTCGCCATGCCGACGGAATGGGTAATGAGTTTGCCCAGCGATACATGATCAAGTACAGCCGCGACGGCAGCAACTGGGTGGGCTGGCATGATAGGAAGGGAAGGCAGGTGAGCAGGGCTACATGTTACTGTGTAATGTCTACCTTTCTTATTGTAGCGGCCTGCGCTGCTCTCACACATCTGAGTCTACGCTTAGTTTTCAAACAGTTCACCACTTTGAATCTGTGCATTTAAATGAAAGGTGACACTGACACTTCCACACAAAGGTGACAAAGGTATTTGTCAGTTTCTGTTATGGCAGCTTAACTTTTATCATTGAGACGTGAGTTTACAGACTTTTACCGTGTCATAATAACTGTAATAAAGTGAAAGACAGTGGTGGAAAGTACATTTACTCAAGTACTGTATCTAAGGTTGTTGCACTTTCCCCGGAGTATTTCCATGTCAGGCAGGTACAGAACAGATAACAGGCAGGGCAACAAGAACGAGAGCCTTCAGCGTGAAAGACAACACACCATCTGGCGGTGAGCAGGCAGGTTTAAATACTGGCTGGGATAATGAGGAAGCAGGTGTGTGAGTGGGCGGGGGAGGAGCGGGGCTTTCTGCTGGCGAACGGGGAATCAGGAAACAGGGATCAGTGGGAAAGACTCAAAGGAATCTGGTGGGTGGATGGAGAATGACAAGTGGCCAAAGTAAACAGGCCCAGTGCGGGAATCGTGACCTGCATCGATACAGATTAAACTACCAGGTACAACAGTAAAACATTAGTCATACATTAATACATCAGTAATAATTATCCAACTATATAAAGTGTGACACTCACAGGGGTCCATTTATGAGTACTTGTACTTTAAGTACATGTTGCTATTACTACTTGTGTTCTTTTACTGTTTTATTGTCGAGCGTTGCTACTGAATACTGAATACTGAATACTTGCTCCACGCTGGGGATAAATGCCAAGAAACATCATCTTCTTTGCTGCGAGTTGTACCAATGTGATCTCATATTCATGAGATAGAAGGCACCAAATTGGTTTCATAATTTATCTGACCATCACATATTTATGCTGATAAAATGCTACACATAGCAATTTTATCATTCAGCTACCCCAGTCCCCTGCTGCAGAGTGCAGAGGTTTTTGTTCAAAGCATTAACGCCATATACACTCGCGCGGTTAGGTATCCATCCCTGACAGGTTTCTCTCAGTCAGTCAGTCTGGTGTAATCTGCCTCTCCCTCCCTGTTAGGTCATTGAGGGGAACAGGAACGCATACGATGTGGTGCTGAAGGACCTGGAGCCTCCCATCATCGCTCGTTTCGTCCGCTTCATGCCTGTGACAGATCACTCCATGATCGTGTGCATGAGAGTGGAGCTCTACGGCTGTGAATGGCTGGGTTAGTCGATACGCTCCAGTGCAGCATCGTCATCCAGCAACGTCTAGTTTATGTTTCTTTAATAACTGACAATCTACATTCAGCTTTTTGTATAAGTAACAGTTTTCTGTTAACTAATACGTTTTGTTTATTGCCATAATATCCTACAAGCATAAAGTGAGTAAATCGTAGGTCATAGGTCACAATCTTACCTGCCCCTTTCAGATGGCCTGATGACTTACAGCATTCCAGATGGGCACCAAATGATCTACAGAGGCCTGGATGTCTACTTCAATGATTCTGTGTATGACGGAGCAGCAGCTGAAAGGTCTGGATTTTAATGCTGCTTCTAGAAGGAAAGATGTAGACCACAGTTATAGAGGGGTTATTTCTATCACCATTATGCTGTGAGTGCAGTAATATTCTTCTTTTCTTTCTTTTTTTTTTTCTTCGGTGTAAGATAGCAATGAATTCTCTGCACTCTTCCTAAAAATAAATGTTTGTTTTTTGGGGGGGGGGTTTTTATCTTTTTAATTCCTCCATCCGTCCCTCCACCAGACTGACAAAGGGCCTCGGCCAGCTGACAGATGGCACCTGGGGCCTGGACGATTTCCTCCACAGCCACATCTACGGCATGTGGCCAGGCTACGACTATGTGGGCTGGAGCAACAAGAGCTTCCCCAAAGGTTACGTGGAGATGATCTTTGAGTTTGACCACGTCCGAAACTTCACGTCCATGAAGGTAAGAAGTTCAGGGAAAACTTTCCGGGTATAGTTCATCTTAACAGCGGAGATAGTGGAATATCTTTAAATGTGCTGAGTCAACACTATGCTGAACTGAGCTGTGCTGTGCCGCGCTGGGCAAGCACCCATCTTCTAATGCAGCTGCACATTTTATTGGGACATAAAAGTTATAAAATGATGCAAGATTGCACAGCCGTGTGAAAATGCCATTTTCTGTATAATTAGCCTATTTCTCATGGGTAAGTGCCATGGCCAGGATTCAGAGATGGAAGTTACCACACCTGCCTTTACATCATCTTCCTCTTCAGATTCTGGCCATTTTGAGCAACTGCTCAGTAGAGAAAAAAAAAAAAAAGATTGATGCAGATTTTCCATCTTCAATCATGCTTTCTTGTACTTACATAGTCCACTGTCACCTCCACAGGTGCACTGTAATAACATGTTTAGCCGAGGGGTGAGGATGTTCAGACAGGCCACCTGTTACTTCCGGTCAGGCTCGGAGTGGGAGGCGGACCCGGTGACTCTTAGGCCCGCCGTCGACCGCGTGAGCCAAATCGCCCGTTTTGTCACCGTGCCCCTCGGAGACCGCACAGCCAGCTCCATCAAATGCCGTTTCCACTTCAGTGACCTTTGGCTGCTGTTCAGTGAGGTGGCCTTCCAGTCAGGTAATAAAGCCTCAGGTGTGGGCTCCAGTCAGCGCCCGGTTAGAAAACTTTGATTTGATATCTGCTTCCTGTTTGAGCTCACTGTATATCATCCAGCTTTGTGTTTCTTCCACTCACAGGCTCAGCAGTTTACAATACATCTCTGACTCCTCGCAAACACGGACACCCCACAAACACACTACCAGGTCAGAGGCTGAATCCTTTGTGTCTTTTTTTTTTTTTTTCCTTCAAGCAGTGGCTGCAATTTTGGTGAAGTGACAGTCAGGCAGTGGAGAAAAATGTACGTTTGACATGTGGCTGCTGGGAAGTGATGTGGTGGCAAACAAAACATAGGTCTTCAGTCAGCCTCAAATATAATTAGTGTGTAATGTTTTTCTCTATTATATTTGTAGAAGCTTGCTCATTTATAATTTTTACTAAATTGGCTTAGTGTCATACATCTTACTGTGACATATTATGATTTATTTTTGTGCAAAAGTGCAGGTAATTGCTCAGTTTAAAAGGTGTTTTTTTTTTTCTTTTGGTTAAACACTGCCCCCTGGTGATAGCATCAAGAATGACTTGTTACCGTGAAGATAAATGTCTCCTTGCTGTAGTTGTAATGAAACATGACGGGGATTATTCAATGAGAATGTAATAATTTCGGGGGTTATGCTATAATAAGAACTTGATCTGTGATGGATTAAATCAAATCAATCCCAATTCTCGTCTCATCTTTAATAGGGGATGATCCCACCCATAAAGTGGATGACAGCAATACCAGGATCCTGATTGGCTGCTTGGTGGCTATCATAGCCATCCTGTTGACTATCATAGTCATCATCCTGTGGCGGCAGGTGTGGCAAAAGATGCTTGAGAAGGTGAGAAGAGAGTTTTCTTTTTGTTTTGTTTTTTAATGGAGGGATGTGTGAACAATCTGGAGATTATACACATGACGAGACAAATCAGTAATTGGTCAGGGCTTTGGTTTGGCTGCAGGGGAGGTATATTATCACAGTGGGGGGACCTAAAATTACATTTTGCATTTATAGTTTTTGTAGGAGGGGTTTTATGAGTTGAAATGAGCCCCCAGTGACCCCCATCAGCACTCTGTGGTATCCTGCTACTGACCAAGTAAAGAGAAGTTTCCCAGGGCTGGTGATCTGGAGAGAAAAATTCTCTACCCCTTGGTTTAAATTAGGGAATACATACAACTCTGTAAGTATGTGTTTTTATGTGTGTGGTGAATTGTTTTATTTTTAGTTCACCCAAGTGCTGCCATCCTCTTCTTTTCCTCAAACCTCTCTCACCTTAAGAGGGAAAATTTCAAATAACAAACTCACTTCCACAGGCATCTCGTCGGATGCTGGACGATGAACTCACAGCCCGTCTTGCCGTCCAGACCCAGGCCTTCTCCTTCCACCACTCCTCTCTGTCCAGCGAGGGCGGCTCCACCTCCAACTCCACCTATGAGAGAATCTTCCCCCTCTGCGCTGACTATCAGGAGCCCTCGCGCCTCATCCGAAAGCTGCCTGAGTTTGCTCAGTCCACAGAGCACCTCGGTAAGATGGTAAAAGTACCACGCAATAAATGCCGTGGAGGCTTTTTAGAGTTATAGCTGCTGGAGCGTGTGATTTTGTGTCTTCCGCATCAGGACCGAGCACCTCCTGCAGAGCCCTCGCAGCCAGTGGTTCAGATGGTGCCCCCCACTATGCGGAGGCAGACATCATCAGCCTACAGGAGTCTTCAGACAGCAGCACCTACTCCATCACAGCCGTCAACATGAATCTCTTTGCTGGCACCGATTCATCCATGAAAGAGTTCCCCAGACACAAGCTCACCTTCAAGGAGAAACTGGGAGAGGGCCAGTTTGGAGAAGTACATTCAGTTTTGTCGCTCTAATGTTTGCTGGCATTGATTTGGCATTTTAGAAATATTCACAGAAATGGTTATTAGATTCATTGGGCTGTGCTCTCTTTGCCATCGTTATACTGATGTATCTTTACAGCTCTCATTTCTAGTACCGCATGATAGATGTTGCTCTGTGGTAAAAGCACCAGAGTGTGAAATGCAGTCACTCCAGAACATGCTGACAAGTAGTCAACACTTAGTGGTATTAGACAGAGCTAAACAGATGGTTTCAGGTGGTGCCAAGTGGACTGACAAAGTGTGATTTTGTACAGGTGCACTTGTGTGAGGCAGAGGGCATGCAGGACTTTTTAGACGAGGTTTTGTCTATAGAGGGAAACAATGAGTCACCTCTGCTTGTTGCTGTTAAAACGCTGCGGGAAGACGCCAACAAGAACGCAAGGTAAAAGCAACTGGTAGCATTTTTTTTTTAACAATTGTAAGGCAAAGGTGTTGTGTATATTTTCTTTATGATTTAACCATCAAACAGGCAGAATATCTCTACAAGTATGTACATTAGTCTCCAGCTGGTTGTCATTATTCATTCAGTCGTCAGTCCAAACAATGAATTGTAATTTTCTTTGGCCCCGCTGTGCTGCAGGAATGACTTCCTGAAGGAGATCCGAATCATGTCTCGTCTGAGGGACCCCAACATTGTCCGTCTGCTGGCGGTGTGTGTGGACACAGACCCACTGTGCATGATCACTGAGTACATGGAAAATGGAGACCTGAACCAGTTCCTGTGCAATCTCAGGCTCAAAGAGGCTGCTGATGAAGACAAGGCAGAACAAGAAGAGAAGGAGGGGAAGAGTATGGTCAGGTGGGCTCATATCTTTATATTAAACTATAATGATTATCAGGGATAAGTGCACTATAGTTATGACTTCTGTTTCTTTTGTGGTGTCCTCTGCTCGCAGCTACAGTAAGCTGATTGGGATGGCTGTGCAGATTGCATCTGGTATGAAGTACTTGTCCTCTCTCAACTTTGTCCACCGTGATCTGGCCACCCGCAACTGCCTGGTGGGTAAGAACTACACGATAAAGATCGCTGATTTCGGCATGAGTCGAAACCTGTACAGAGGAGACTACTACAGGATCCAGGGTCGGGCCATCCTGCCCATTCGCTGGATGTCCTGGGAGAGCATCCTACTGGTGAGTGCTGTGCAGAGCTGGGGACAAGTGAGATACCAGCCTCATGCCACCAAATAATCCAACATCCAATGTCTAGATTGTTTTCCAAGTCCATGCTAGACTGTGTTTGGATTTAAGTTGTCTGCCCTCTCAGGGTAAATTCACCATGGCCAGTGATGTGTGGGCATTCGGCGTGACTCTGTGGGAGATTCTGACTCTGTGTAAGGAGCAACCCTACTCCCAGCTCTCTGACGAGCAGGTCATTGAAAACACGGGCGAGTTCTTTAGGGACCAGGGCAAGCAGGTGAGCATCACACAGATTTAATCTACTAATCCTCAAGAGTACAATCTGTTTGTGGTCTCAGTTGTGGATAGTTCCTTGTATTTCATTGTTCAAAATTAGCTGGAAATATCTCATGTTTTCAAATAAAAATACTCCTCATAGCCACATTAACATACATACATTAATATTTTGCTTTGTGCTCCCAGGTGTACCTGCCAAAGCCACCATGTTGTCCTGAAAGAGTCTACACTGATCTGATGCTGAGCTGCTGGAGGAGGAATGCCAAGCAGAGGCCAAGTTTTCAGGAGATGCACACTCAGCTGATAGAGAGTCTGGCGTAGCAGATAGGATGTATAATTTCTCTCTGCCATGCACTGTCTTGTTTGCTCTTTTCAGGATGGATTTATTTGGAATTAATTTGGAGTCAGAAACAACCCATTAAATGTTTTCCCATTTGTTTTATGCATGCTTGCCACAATGGTGCTGTAAATAACAGGAAATGAAGACAGGGTATGCACTTGAATAGAGCCTATTATTGTAGATATCATGCAGTATCATGCTGAGCGAATAGCACTATCCACTCAGTGTATTCACACCTTTGTGTATTTATTAATTTCTTTTTGTTTCCTATGCTATGTGTATTTATAGAGTACGTTAAAGGTAATCCTAGGTTTTGAAACACAGATGTGATTTTTTTTTAAATTTTATTTCTTGATCCTTACATCTACTTCTATTGCACATTTATAAGAGAATGTCAGTTGTTTGACCCTTTTTTAGTGTTACTATTTTTGCTTTGTAATTTTAACATGAACAAATGACACGATAATGACTGTGTTCTGGATGAGAATGTGTTTAAACTATGCAGAAGCTCCCTTATATTCTTTATAAACATGTTTATATCCTTTTGCAGAAATAAATGAACTGTATATTGTTGAAGAGTAGAAAAGAAAAAAAGATTTTTAATAGCCGTCAAATCAAAGAGCCTTGTAAATAAAGAGAAATGAATATTTGCCGATCTTTGTCACACTTTTTTTGGTCGTTTTCTTCTCATACGGAAGTCAGGCAGTAGAAGTTTCCAAGCGACGCTTTCAACCGTTGCGCTCTTTTCCCGTTTTGGGCTTCTTGGCACTCCGTAGTGGAAGCTGATTGGCCAGCTGCTTGCTGACATCCAATCACACCACGTCCAAGCTCATGCATATAGGCTGCTGCTCTCGCTTCACCGGAATCGGACGATGGGCTGAGCGTCCCGGTACGACTCCGGTGAGAGAAGACTCATACCTGGTGTCAGACTTTGTGCCGGTCCGGCTCTCATCCTCAGCCTCCGGTCAGACATGCAGAGAGTGGTCATCGTAACCGGCGCCAACAGGTGGGTCCGCTGAAACACGTTATAACGATAACTAGACAACGGTTTGTGACGTTGTTACACTGTGACGTGACGTCTCTCGCGTGTTCAGTTAACGGCAAAAACATTGTAGTTTCGCTGAGGGAGACAGTCCCTCCGGTTTCTCTCCTGTTGAGACATTTAACTGCTTCTAAATCTGTGAAAAACTGTGTTCATTTTTGTATCTGCGTCACACATACACGGTCAGAAAAATGCGTCGTTAATTACTATTACATTTAAAAATGCAGAGAAGTAAAATTAGAAACAATATATATTAAAAGTCTAGGAGCTAATTTGGCCAGGAGGATATTAGCTTTAGCTTTTATATCTGTATCTCTGTATTCCAGGTTATAAGTAGCAAGAATTTACAGAACAGAAATGCCAACGATATGTTAGATACGTACGTTAGTGTAGATGAGATTTTAGTTATTTTACAAAGTGTCACTTACATGTCATTAGAAATAGTCACAGCACACAACTCTGCCCAAATAAGCCACTGTTATTTTTACATGTGCAAATTAAGCAAATGCGTTAATCAATGATCTGTAGAGATGCTGTAATGTGCATGAGATTTAAAAAATACATATATGAACTTTGATAGGTAGAAATTGAGACTGCAGACAAATATTTCCAATCTGCCATTATTTATCTTCCAATATTGTTACTCCAGTTTAGTCCTCTGTGTTTACCAGATGATTTACTTAATCTGTGTGATGATTGCTCAGCTCCTCCAGGGAAGTTTGTTTACATGTGTGAATGATTGGGTTTGTTTGCCATTTGTTTCTCTCTCTCTCTCTCTCTCTGCAGTGGCATTGGCCTGGCGTTGTGTGAGAGGCTGCTGACTGAGGACAGCCAGCTCCGTCTGTGTCTGGCCTGCAGAAACACGCAGCGGGCTGAGGCTGCCCGCTCCGCCTTGCTGACCTCTCACACCAATGCACATGTGGACCTGCTGCATCTTGATGTGGGCTCTGTGCAGTCAGTGTTCACTGCTGCTCAGGAGGTCAAGGCCAGGTAATAAACCTTTGATACACAGACTTCACAACTCTGTTTGTACTCATGTTGTATCCATGACACTGCTCCTGGTTCTCTTTTCCCAAGGGTTTAACAACGATGCATATGGAATTAAAAGTGATTAATCTTTGATGCATATTTGTGTTTTTTCTATAGGTACAGCAGAATTGATTTTCTGTATCTAAATGCAGGAATTATGCCCAATCCACAAGTGGATGTCAAAGCTTTTTTCAAGGGTCTGTTTTCCAGGCAAGTTTCCAATGCTAGTTCCTGACTTTCTCATTTTAGCTTTGATTTGTGTCTTTTAATTTTGAATTAATTGAGATTGGCTTAAATCTCGTTTCTGTCCATGCTGTTATGTAATAGTGTACCTTCTCACTGCAGGAATGTCATCAACATGTTTGCGACAGCAGAGGGTCTCTTAACTCAACAGGACCGCCTCAACTCAGATGGACTGCAGGAAGTTTTTGCCACCAACCTCTTTGGTCATTTTCTTCTGGTATACCCCAGACTGTACACACGCATACATGACTTTAAATCTAAATCTAGATGATAAATCCATAATGGGACATAACATAATCTTATTACTGTATATGTTGTGGCAACGTTGTGTAGTAGTGCAGAATATAATGAGGCAGCTATTAAGATTGATGATAACTGCTTAGGCTTTATTAAATACAGCAGGAGGCTTTATGAAGCAGTGTGGATTAAATGTTTTCCCACATCTGTGACGTATTACAGGGACTGAAGTCATTGTATCTAAAATCTTGACAGTTTTCTCTTTGCAGCTGTCCTGACTCATTATCTACATGTCTGTGGTTCAGATCAGGGAGCTGGAGCCTCTGCTGTGTCAGGCAGGCCACACATCCAGGATAGTGTGGACCTCCTCGAGTAATGCCCGCCGCTCTGCCTTCAGCATCGAGGACATGCAGCACAGAAATGGGACGGAGCCCTACAGCTCCTCTAAGTACGCTTCGGACACACTCAGCCTGGCGCTCAACAGACACAAGAATAACCAGGTTTGTCTGTCACACAGTCGGCAAAGTACTGGCACAGTACACAGATTCCAGTCCTTCTTATAGTCTCCATTGTCATTGGCCATTTAAAACAGTATTGGAGAGAAAAACTAACAAGACTCAAGTAACTGCAGTGAATCAGTTGATGCAATCTTGGTCCAAACTGTTAACTAGGAATGAAATTAGTAGGAACATTAGGTCCGTTATGGGTCTTTACTTAATTTATCTGTTGCATTACCCATAAAGTATATTCCAGTATAGTCCAGTATAGTATATGGCTCTACCCGTCTTCAAATAGAGGCTTCAGGGGAGTTTGTCCTTGTCCTCAATAAGTGTCTAAGATCTTGGTGGGTGTCATCTTCATCTAATGATCGCACGGTGGTGCAGTGGTCAGCAGTGTCACCTCACGGCATTTCTGTGTGGAGTTTATATGTTCTCCTCGTGCTTGAGTGGGTTTCCTCCGGGTTTCCTCCCACTTGAACATAGACAATCAGAAGTAAATGTTTCAGAAGAAAAATCTCATTTGACTTGTTGACTAATTATCTTTGCTTTCAGAAACCAGAATCTGACAAAATGTTGCTAAAATCTCTCAAATGGCTTCACTGAGAACTGCATTTTGTCATGATTTGTCAGAGTTTTATTTATTACTGGAGGCAAGCATGGAGAGAATCAAGGTAGTGTAGAACAAAGCGCCCTTTGGATCACACTGTATATGCGCAAAGGAAAAAATAACTATAACGACCGAACCGGACAAACTTGGTGTTGTTTGAAAATCCTCATTAAGAAATAGGTTCCTTCAAAATCCCGTGCCCCTAGCTGCTTCCTACACAGAGCACTTACAAACACAGACAAAGACACCACTCTCCAATTATAGTTGTAGGGTTCCAACATCTACCAGTTATCCACTTTATCAAAATGCAATACTGTACCATTATCCACCTGTATGGTCTTTTAGACCTTAAAAAAATCGATCAAGTATCTTTTTTGTTTGTTTGTTTTAATAAGAAGGAAAAATATACTGCACATCAAGAGTAACTTCCACAGAAATTATAAAATGATAGCAAACAAAAAATGCATTCAGCATTCAACTGTTTTCTCCTGTCTTTGTGACAGGGGCTGTTCTCCGCCGTGATATGCCCAGGACTGGTGATGACTAATCTGACCTATGGTATCCTGCCCTCATTCTTCTGGACTCTCATCATGCCTATCATGTGGTTGGTGAGCAGTGTTTTATTTATTTATTATTGTCTTCATTCTAACAAAAGTCTCCCGCGTCTGTGTCAAACATTATTGAAGTGATGTGTGAACTATCATTTCCTGTTGTGCTGAACAGATTAGGATCTTCACTAACACATTCACACTTACACCATACAACGGAGCAGAGGCACTGGTATGTTGTCAACCTGTGTCATTATTGTCCATACGGAAAATACGTAGGGATTCACATGTGAACAAAAGACGCTCTATGAACTTGGATTGCTGCTCTGGTCTTTTTCACAGCACTGGCTGTTTCTCCAAAAGTCAGAGTCTCTGGATCCACGAGCAAAGTATCACAGTTTAACGTCAGGACTTGGAACAAACTACACACAACCTCGAAAAGTGAGTAACTGGAGACCATGAGCTCCACAGAGATACTGCTTCAGTCTATGTAATAGGATAATGTGCAAAGGTAATGTGATATGCTGCTTAAGATGCTTCTTTTACATGTAATCAATCCAGATTTTCTGTGTTTGTGTTTCAGATGGACATCGATGATGAAATGTCCGAGGTCCTCTATTCAAAACTTCTTGACCTTGAGAGAGTAGTCAGAGGGGAAGCGAATGAGGGAAACGCTGCTAACAAACTCATCAACAGTACCTGAATGAGGCAGAGTGAGTCTTGTAACGGAGAGCTTTAGAAATAGATCATGTGCAATTTGTGATGTAAACCAGCAACAGTGCTCTTATTCATTACATTCTTGCCAGTTGTAGTATAGAAATATGTGTGTTTTTATATGTGAATGAAACAACCATACTTCTTCTACCTCAGTCAAGGTCACAACTTTGATTTGTGCAATGTGATCATGTTGGCTACAGAAGTAAAGCTACTTCTGAGGTGACCACTTGGATTCACTGCACTAGATAACTCTAATCATGTTAAAATTAGCAACATTTGACAGTGAAGCACTAAATGGAACATTTTTAGGAAATTATTTGTATTAATTTGCAGTTTGTTTTCAATAAAAGGAAAATTTACTTTGAAACTGTAACTTCTCGTATCAATCTTCGCATCTTCGCTGCAACATTCACACAACTCCAACATTACTTATACAAAAAAACAAATATCAAAAAAGAAAAAAAAAATTATAACTACAGACCAATTTTACATATTATAGTAAGTTTTAAAATATTACAAATTTTCAATTTAACTTCTTTAAACCTCCCTGCCTCCTGTTATTTTGGTTGCACCTGTTAGCGCAGGGCAGCTGAATCCACTGACTGTAAAGGGAACAATGTGATGTCCGCTCTTATTCTTGGTCACCTGGCAGCAGTGCTGTGACTTGAAGGCCAAGTGTATCACGTACCTGACCCACCGTCAAACTGAGAGGTCCAGAAGAGCTGAAAACACCTGTGTGAGGGCGCAGGGTCTTCTAATATGAACTGCTTTTTCTGACTTAATGAGCCTATGTAATATTGTCATGTATTGATATTAGAAATGTATATTTTAGGTTTAGGTTGATCATTCATAAACCTATTGAAAAATGTAATTAAGACAACCGTTGTCACGATAAACAATGACAACTACTTTTTCCTATTTTTTACAAACAGTACTGTTGGGGTCATGTGAGATTGGTACCAGCAGGAGTCTCATCAGTCGCTGCTTTCCTCCTGTAATGTAGATACCACCACCTGAGAGCTGTATCATGTTTCTTCTACAACAGGCTTCTTACTTTGCAAATTTAAATTCGCTATTTGTTTATGGTCTGGTTTCCTGAGGCCATCAACTAACCACCAACACTTCCATCAGCTGTCCTCTGAGGCTCATTTCACCACAAGTCATAAATTATGATGCTGTCATCTGACATGAATGGCTTGTTTAAATAAACGAAACAACTGCTGCGATATGAAATATAAATATATGAATAAATAAATCAGGTGTCATCTGATTCACAAGGTCGCTGAATGGTAAGATAACACTTCTCATACAAAAGCTTTGTTTTAATATTATACTCTTAAGTTTTTAAATTAAAATGCTTTAGGGCAATATCAGCATTAGGCAGCTAATCTGTTTATTGCATGCGTTGTTCCTGACAGATATGCTCAGCTGCCACACTGCTTTTCAAGTCATTTGCCTTTTTGACATCTCAGTTTAAAGGTGGACTGATGCATTTTCTCATCAGAAAGAAAAAATATCAGAGACAACTGGGCATCGCTTCATCTCCACTTGATTGATTACAGAAATCAAGAAAAGGGAAGTAAGTGTGTATATACATTCATATATATATATACATATAACTAACTGACCTATCAGCAGAGGTGGAAAACAACTAAGTACATTGTACTTTGCTACTTCCTCTCTCCATTTCAGACAGAAATACTGCACTTTTCACAACAGTATATGTGTCAGATATAGTTCATTCGAAGATTGTTTTAAATACAAAATGTAAGATCAGCTTGTAAAATATGATGTTGATAGTTATGATTGTTGTATTCAATTACTAAATAGTACATAAAGTAGCTAAAATTAGCTTAATCTCTACCAGTCACAACATCAAGATGCTGCTTACACAGTAACACATCGGCAACTAATGGCAGAGAAGAGCGCTCACCTCAAACAGTCCTACACATCTTTTGTTTTCAAGTAGCTTCATGTATTTATTGACTTTAATTCATAAGCAAAACAATTGTATGGTTTTATTACCTGCTGTGTGAAATGATGACATCAGCATTACAATTCATACAGCTCTACATCTGTATGAATTGTGTCACTGTTGTGTGTAACCGCTACTGCTATTGTGTAGTTTTATTAGTTGCATGTTAATACTAAGTACAACCCTGTGTAATGTGGATCTACCAGATCCAGATTGATCTAGACCAATTGCCAACACCATTATTATGTCTGATTTACGTCAAGATCCATATATAATTGATTACTGATTGTTACTGACAAAAATGTTGAAAAAATGCCCTCTCTCACAATGTTTAGAAAAGTGATTAAAAAAATTTCCTGCATCCGCCCCTTTGACCGGATCCTCAGCAGAATTGAATAGGTTTTATATTGTGGTGTTGCTACTTTATTCAACAATATTATCTTTGTTGATGGTGGTCATCTTTGCGGTGCAAAAATACAAAAAAATCCCATTTGGAAAGCCGTTTCAGAGAAAATGCCTAAACATGTAGACAGATATTAATACTTGGCAAACATTCAAGTGTGACTTTAGATAAGCCTTGTTTTTAAACATGCACATAAATCAAAAACACATGACTTCATGACTGTGCTGCTTTTTATAAACTGACAAATCCCACTTAATCTCATGATATGCGTGTCTTTTGTATCAGCATAATGTTGCAGCTGCGCATACAAGACAATGAATTTTAAAAGCAATAACAGCAGAGCTTACAGGTAGTCTACTGTCAACAAATCCAGATATTGGTGTTTCCTTTTAGAAATATGTCTGTGCGCTCCTGTAAGCGAATAGTGGGTATTTGTTTGATCACATAGGTGCACATTTCTTTCAGTCTATTTTTTCCTCCAGTATCGTGTAGTTTTTTTTTTTTTTTTTTACAAAGCAGAAGCTGGTTTTCTGCAGCCGCACCACTCGCCAGCTTATTGTGGGACAATTGAGAGGCTCCCGTGCAAGTAACTCCTCTCAGATATTAAACCCCGGATTATTGCAGGAGGACATGAAAGCACGTCGTTACATAATGTAAATAAAAACATTGCAGCCACCGTGTGTTCAGATTGGTGCGCGCTGCACGATGTCCCGGATGGTGCTCGCACCGGAAGAGAAGGGGCAGCTCTCCCAGCCATCTTGTGGCAGCATCCAGCGAATTGTTCGCATCAAGCCTCGTAGAATCGGAGGTGAATCCCGCTGAAGGGGCGCCATCATGCCCGGACACCTGCAAGAAGGCTTCGGCTGCGTCGTAACCAACCGGTTCGACCAGTTATTAGATGATGAGTCCGACCCGTTTGAGATCCTGAAAGCTGCTGAAAACAAGAAGAAGGAGGGGGCCGCCGCTGGTTCCACCAAGACCGCGGCTCAAGCCGCCAAGCAGCCGAAGAAGGAGTCACAGAAGGACAGGAAGAACCCGCTGCTGGACAAGAAGGAAGAGTCCCAGGCTCCAGTCCCCCTGAAGAAAGAGGGTAACATTTTCCACCTGCTCCCTCTCTTATATGCAGTGCATGTTTATTTTCCGTTACTTCGCATCAACTGTCATGTGCAGCTCCTGTTAGCTGCGTTAGCTGCTGCTGGTCGGAGCGAAACACAGCGTGAGGTCAACATGGACCCTGTCCTGTTGCTATTAGAGGACAGACTGGCAATTCCTCTCAAGCTGAGGCGAGCGACACATGAACAGATGTTTCTAGCACAGGGAGAAGCTGAAATGCTCAGGTGTAATTCACCAGTGTGCAAACTGGTGAGTGTGTGTGTCGCAGAAATGGTTTCCACCAGCATCCGACGGGAAGGTGTAGTGTTGGGTGACTGTGTGGATGATGCTCCAAGCACTGGCTACGGCAGCTCTGTTAGCAGCTGCAGGCTTTCTAAAGCAAATGCGCAGGTTATTCACCTGCGCACCGCCAAACTAGACAGACCGCTCTTTGTTTGGATTGATGCTGCCTTCTCACAGTGAAGGCTTTCATGTTTTTTTTTTTTAGCTCTCTGGTCTTAAAGTAAATTCATCACCAGTATAAATTAATTTGTGAAAAGAGGCCCACCGTGAGGCAGTGCATTAATAGTTGAAGTTAAGTGCTGTTTTCAATGCTGGTGACAGGAGAGGTGACAGACATGCCAGTTTGCACGTCCCAGCGCAGGAATGGTGTAAGGGTCGGTTTGAGTGTTAACATTTCAACAAGCACAGTTGGTACTAGTTCTGACTTATGCTCCTGTAATTTGCAGGTATCAGGCGGGTGGGCCGAAGACCAGACCAGCAGGGCCAGCCTGGTTCCCAGCACCAGGGTGGGCAGGGTGAAGGGCGACCTGGAGACAAGAGGCCAGACCGGAGACCTCCTCGAGAGCGCCGCTTCGAGAAGCCCGCCGAGGACAAGCCTGAGGGGGGTGGAGAGTTCTCTGTAGACAAGTGGGTAGCTGTGATGAATGACAAAGAGCATATTTAAACATACTGATAAGCCCGAGGCTGCTTGGTGTGATCATAGGATCAGTGTGGGGTTGTATGCAGAGATTAAGTTTGTAATCTAATCTTAGCTCACTTAACCACAACATCACAGCACAGCCAGCTGTAAACTGCTGGTTTTTGCTCTCTTTGACATTTTTTTAACACCTCTGGCATTAAAAGCACATAAATGTGTGTGTGTCCGCTCCTTATGATCACACACACCAATTTATTAAGTGTCTCTTTGTGTCCGTCAGGCCTTCTGGTGACAGGCCCCCGAGAGGGCGTGGTGGCGGCCGGGGTGGGCGTGGTGGAAGAGGACGGGGCATGGGCCGAGGAGACGGCTTCGACTCCCGTGGGAAACGAGACTTCGACAGACACAGCGGCAATGACAAATCGTGAGTCAGACCTGAGCCGAGACCTTAGCAGACCAGCGAGTCCATAAATAGAAATGACTACTTACCAAGCTCTTGTTGTCAAGAGATATTTTCTAGAGCTCTTGAACTGCTCAAGGTTGCCAAAACCAGGTGGCAATGTTAACAACTTTTGTGTTAATTTGAAACTGAAGTCTCACTGATCTAAAAGGTCTATTGGCAGTTACACTGACTAACTGCCTGACCCAAATGGCATCTCAAGAACGATGTCTCAGATTAAGATCAGTTTTAGTCTTTTTCTTTTTCTAAGTTATGTACACTAATCTACTTTTCAACACAGACTAGAGGATTGTTGTTGGTTTTAGAGTTTCTCCCATAGTGTGCTATAAGTATTTTTAGACTCCATACATCAGTGTGTGTGTGTGTTTTCCTTTCTGTTTTTTTGCTCCAGCAATCAGAAAACTGAGGAGAAACGCAGTGGCAGTGGCTCACACAACTGGGGCAATGTGAAGGATGAAGTGAGGTGAGTTTTCACGAGCAGACACATGGCCTGTTTATCTGAGCATTACTGTCTGCAGAATAGTGATGCACATCTGAAATTTGCCCAGACTTTGCTTATTGTGTGAGGTCAAAATAAAGCCAGTTTGGTTCATACTGTGTTTAAGGGTACGGTACGCCCAACATAATAAAAATGCAAAATGCAACCCTAATTTTGATCATTCTGAAAGGTTTACGAATCTGTTATAGCTTTTCATTATTTTAACTGTGTAATAACATTGCATAAAATGCATGCAACACCCTTTAATGTATTTCTGCATTTATTGGAGAAGTAGTGCCTGTAGTTAGAGATCATGTTTCAGTTAAGCACTGTATGTTAATCTGGAAATGTGACAGTCTTTCTGGAAAGTGGTGCCGCTAAAGCCTCTCTCCATATTAAATTACTTCAACTGGACTGCTCACATGCAAAATGGTGTTTTTTTTAAAAAAAAAAACACCGTATTGACGAGGTGCTTGTGCGTCTTTGTTCCCAGTGAGGCTGAACAGACCGCTGCTCCTGAGACGACCCCAGAGGGAGAGGAAAATGCACCTGCTGGCTCTGAGAACAAGTGAGTATCTATTTCCTGTCAGGTGATTAGGTGTCAGGTGATATTTGGATGTTCAGGAAAAGAAAGGGAATTTAATCTGTTTTAAGAATTTCAGGGGAAAAAAAGTAGTAGTAGTTTGAAGCTGCAGAGCGTTACCAGCACATTGCGATGTTTTCCTTGGTTGTCTGTGGTAAGGTGCTCAGTGTCACAAACAGTGTTTCTATGTGTTTATTTTCCTCACAAAGCTGGTGTGCAATTGGGATCAACACTGTGACTGACCTTTTGGCCTCAGGATTAGAGAGCATGTATAGAGCTAAGAGGATCGGCAGTTTGAGGTTTAAGTTCACCGCATTGTTGTTTGCTGGCTTTCCAGGGAGAATGAGGTCGAAGAGGTGAAAAACGAAGGCCCCAAAGAAATGACCCTGGACGAGTGGAAGGCCATGCAGGACAAGGAGCGCACCAAGGTGGAGTTCAACATCCGTAAGCCCAATGAGGGAGCCGACAGCCAGTGGAAGAAAGGATACGTGCTGCACAAGTCCAAGAGTGAAGATGTGAGTGTGGTGCTTTATATTATAGATAACAGAAACTTTTTTATCCAGTGCTTTTTTTCACTGTGACCTGAAACGTCTTTAAGTTTACAAGATTGTATATAAGATGTTTTGTGATCATTTCAAGTTTGTAGCCTTGATTAGAAGACGTTAGAAAACTTGTGCACTGATAATTTAAGCTTTTGTTGTGGTACTTAGAGTTTTTTTGTGCTTGTCAGAAAGCTGACTGTTCAGGAGAGCATGACTGGATTGTTGTACTACTCGCTGTTTGCAGGACACAGTCAGGTTTTAGACATGGTGCTGTTGCCTTGTTGAACTAAAAAGAAAGCTGTTAAAAGTTGGCAGCACAGAGACGTTGCTGTCTTACTTTTCCTTTTAATTGATGTAAATGCAAAATGAAATTTCTGGGTGCACTTCAGGGACACGTGCTCAGGTTGTTGTGGAGGTCACCTTGTCCTTCTCATGAGCTGATATGACGCTACATCTGTTCTGATAATTTCTTGCGTTTCATTTTCAGAGGCCTGTTGGTGCTTTGATTGACGCTTCAGAGACGGAAGCAGAACCACATACTCTGTACAACAAGGTACCTGCAGCTCTGACACTGGTCTTTCATCCACAAAGTCCATGAAAACATTCAGAGTTAACGTGTTCAGATTATTTTATTTGTTTTTATTTTGGGTGAAGGAATGAAGAATTTCAAGACGTTGTACTAAGCAGCACATTAAAAGAAAACACACACGTTCACTCACTTCATTCATATGTAAAAATGAACGTCTAACTACAGAGTGCAGTTCATCTTTTAACATACTTGTCGTCATGTGTTCTAAGCAGCCGGGCACCGCTGACGAGTCCAGTGACCACCATTTCCGCAAACCAGCCAACGACATCACATCTCAGCTGGAGATCAACTTTGGAGACCTGGGCCGCCCCGGCCGTGGGCGCGGGGGAGCGCGTGGAGGCAGGGGAGGCCGCGGCGGGGGAGGCGGCAGCAGGACGGCACGTGGGGGAGGACGGTCCGAAAAGGTAACAATACAAGCCGTTGTTGCTGCCAACAACAAAGGTTTAGTGTCCCTCACAAAAGATTTAGCTCACTCACCCTGAATAGGCTGTAAAACCACTGACTTGGAAAACCTGCTGTGGAATACTGAGGCCCTGAAATAACAGAGCAGTGAACACATGGTCCATAATGGAAAACTCACAGACTAACCTCATGACAGTGATGAGGTGCATTTGTATAATAATAGTGCTTAGTTGTGGGAATTAGAGTTTATAACATTTATATTTATAGTATAAAGCTGTCAAGTACAAAATGCTGTCATCAAATGCGGACGTAGATTCATACATGTTTGTTTAAGCTCCCGAGCCAGCGACTGCCGTAGATAGCCATTATGTTTTTGGGTTGTCCATCCATCTTTCCCATTCTCATCAATGTGATATCTCAGGAAAGCTCAGTGAATGATGAAGAGATGACATTTTATATCCAAACGGTCAAAGGTCAACTTCATAATGTTCTGCAAAAATACCTCTGGCCATTATTCAATGCCGAGACTCAGGAAGGGAAGATTGAGACCACATTTTCTGCACCTTGACAATATTATCAAAATTTCAATATGTCCAAGTGCAGAAGCTGCACTTTTTTGATAAAGGTAAAATGTGTCACAACAATACCATAAATGAAGCATTGTGTTATTACAGTGGTGCTCCAGTCTATAAATCATATTCTCCAGATGTAAAAGGAACATAGTTGTTTGGTACAAGCTCCAACAATCATCATTTCATTTTTTTTTTTTCCAGTAAAAATGAAACGAAAAAAATGACCATTCCCGCTGATAATTCGCGACACATTTCACATACTAGTAGTAATGTGATCCATCATTGATGCAAAAAATATTGATCATAGCAGCTAACCTTGTCCTGGTTCTCCTGTGTCTCCCCTCTAGGCTAGTGGAGTGTCAGTCCCCAACGTGGATGATCCTGAGGCCTTCCCAGCTCTGGCCTAAAGGCTCCTTTTCCACCACCAGCCCACCCATCAGCCCTTCCGGGCCCCTCCTCTACGAGGCTTGCATGCTTACCACATCTTCAAGTATATAAGAAAACAGAGAAAAAAAAAAAAGATTTTAATGACAAAAAAAAGACTGTCATCCCATACCACTCACACCACCAGAGGACTAAAATTTTACCTGTTTTAAAGGAAAACAAAAGACAAAAAAAGACGGAAAAAGGACCTCTTGTTACACTGACGTTTTGTATTTAGGAACATGAAAGCAGGGATGTTTTCATACTTTTTTCTTTTATTTTTTTTCAGAGATTATGCATATTTCATTGGTATTTTTTTGTGCTGCTTGAATTTATGCATTTCTGCGATTAGGTTGAAGTGTGTTTATCTCTTCCCCTGAAGCTTTTGTGCTTTTTTTTTTTTCCCTCATGACTTCAGCTCAGTATTATGGGGTCATATTAGAAAAGACTTTCTACTGGAGTTTTTTTTTTCCAGTAACACACATATGTGGTAGCACTTCACTACATAAGAAACTTGTACTAGATATCTGAAGTATGGCTTAACATGCGTTTAAAGTGTAATTACTCTGATCCTGACTACCCATCCCTTTGCGAGGCACAAGTTCAGGATGGGTAACCAGGCAAAGTGACTTCCTACTAAAGCTTGGTATTTTTCTGCTTGTTGTGCAGTGAAAGTAAATGCCTCTTTCCTTTTTTGTTTTTTTGTTTTGTTTGTTTTTTGATAGCTTGCCTTTTTTGGTGGACCAGTGGTTAGTAATGCTTTGTATCCCCTGATCCAGATGTGCTACCTGTGTTTTCAGGGTGTCCCAGGGCCCAATGTATATCTTTAGGCTGGTCCTTTTAGGTCATACGGACTGTACTACTTGTAACTTCAGGACCACTAAGCAAATATTGTATTTTTTTGTTAAGGATATGTGTGTGTGTGGGTGTGTGTGTGCTTGTGTGTGTGAGTGTGCAGAAAAGTGTGAGGTTGAATGTGAATTTGACAGCTAGTTACTTAGAGTTTAAGTATTTCTCTGCTAAGAACTTGCCATTCTCAAACAGTAGTCTGCAAGTTCTCACCTGAAGTAGTTCATACTGTCTTTTGAGAAGTGATTGTTGAAATCTAGGTGAGTGATAGCTAGACCATGGACATATCTTGCTCTTAGAGTATCTGTAGTGTTTTTCAGATCTCAAAGCACTTGGTTTTTATCAGCACCAGTCCTCTGAAGATTTTTTCCTCCCCTTCTGTGAACCATATTTACTGTTTTTTATTTTTATTTTATCAGTGCAGCAGCACCAATGCATAATTTGTCTGAAAGAAATGTCAGCTGTCATTGTGGAACAATCATGAGCTACAGAATGTAATGTAAGGTAATGGTGCTTTTAGCCACCTGTGTCAGCATTTCCAGTGAGCTTTTTGTTTTTGTTTTGTTTTGTTTTTTATGAAGCGGGTATATTTCACATGGGGTGGGGGGGTTATACTGAAGACATTAGGGAGTGAATTAAAAGCTTTACATGCTGTGCTCTGCAAAGACTTGCTGGTGATGCACTGATACAGACGGCTGGAGCAGTTTTCTTGTAGGACTGTTTGAGCCACATGACGGTGAAACTTTCTCTGCAAACATCCCTGTTCTAATAAATTGCTTTAGAGGTGTTACATGTATTCTGCCAATGGCTGTTGGGTTGTTTAAAATCAATACTGTGATTTTAAAGGTGTAAACAAATGTGCTTTTGACTCTTTATTGGTTTAAACATACCGAGGCTGTGGTGTTTCAGCTACAGTATTCCCCTTTAATCCTATATTGACTTCAGTGGGATGTAAACAGTCCAGAAGGGTTTGATCTACACTTAGTTGCCAGTTTATCAGGCAGCCCTGCAATAAATCGTACCTTCCTGAAGGTTATGATGTTGACGCAGCTTAACGGACAATTAAGCTGTAGTTACAGGTATTACTTATGTTATACAGATCGGTGTGTCTAATGTTTAGTCTACCGCCATTTATATCAGTTGGTTAGAAAGCTTAAGACAACACCTGAACAGTTTCACTCAAAACTCAACAGTATAATATTCACGAAGGTATGATTCACTGTAGGGCTGATGTATTAGACTACATTAGTTTTAACTAGGTGTTAACAATTCATGGCGTCATTCGTGTATATTGTGTATACATATCGTAAATGTAACTTCAAATTTTTTCGACTGTTTCATAAATCTTAAAATTATGTGGTGTCATTTTTATAGTGAGATTTTATTTTGAAAGATGTGGCGAGCGTTAACCGGATGATGTGTGGCAGAAATAAATGAAGTTGTTCCGCGGGAAAACTAAACTTTTGGAAAAGCTAAACAGCAAAATAACTCAAACGTACTACTACATTGAATGTTTTAAGTCAATTATAATTAAAAATAGACGATAAGGGTTCTTTGGAAGCATTGTCAGTCACTGTTTACGTGGTTACACTTGGCTTAAAATAATTTTGATAAGTTAAAAAAGATTTTAAAAAAATATTCCTCAATGTTGAACGTAGTTGAGTCAAGATACTTCACGTCTTTCCATTTCCTTCTTCGCCGACAGAATTTATCGCTTGGATTAGACGGTCGTGCGCATGCGCAGGAGGACTCGCAGGCTTCCGTTTGAAGACACCGATATGGCAGAGCTGCACAGACGTCAGGAACGCGGCGGCAGAAACTTGTCACCTGAGGGAGCATCCCCCAGAAACAAAGGAGACACAAATGGTGACAGCCCAACGGTGTTTCTGAAGCTGCTGGTTGCGGGATTTTACGGAGTCAGCTCGTTTCTCATCGTTGTCGTCAACAAAAGCGTCCTCACCAGCTACAGGTAAAAGGTGCAAAGTACAAGTTACAGGAAGCTTCGCCTCGGACTGTTGACCAACAGGTCTTAGGGATGTTTTAGTTTGAATGATGGGGATTGGAAGTGTGGAGAAGACAACAAACTCTGGGCAGTTCAGACAGATAGAGGCGGACTTCCTCACTCAGTTTGGGGCAGACAGTGTATGTACATTAAAACAGTTTGACCGCGTTGGGAGCAGAGCCGTGGGCAGTATTTTAGGAATGCTAAAGCAACAGGTCCCCCACTGCATCTCATCTACCTTGAAAGGTTTGACTTGCCACCAACCAAGCTATGTAAAAAATATTTGAACAGTCACCGAAAATCAATATTTCTTTTAATAAACGTTCATGTTTCTTTTTAAATCCATCGCCTAAAATATCTCTCTAAACAGTGATGGTAAAAGTATTCAGATTATTTACTTAAGTAAACTATCAAAGTTTTAAAAAGGTCCAACTTGTGCAAAATAATCACAGCTTGTAGTTATGGTCATGCCTAGGAAGTGAACCAGAGGCAGACCTACAGCTAAGAAACAGCAGTAATGAAATGTCAGGTAAGTATTTGCATAAAGTAATTTTTCTTCATTCATGCCATTGTCTACATGTTTTACAGATTTCCATCGTCAGCATGTGTGGGAATCGGTCAAGTAAGTTTCTCTTGAGTAGAGCCAACATGTATTTCCTGTCCACCTTAAACGAACACTGATATACCTTGTCTCCCTGCTTCAACAACTCTGCAGATGCTGGCTACAATTGTAGTGCTGAGGAGTGGGAAAATGTTGGGCATCATCTCATTTCCAGATATGGATTTGAGTATACCTGGCAAGGTGAGGAGTGACATGTTTAGGCTGATACCACAGAGATTAGGAAGTTGTTCTCATGTTGAAGATCAAAACTCTTCTCTGCTTTAAATATTTCACACGTTTGCTTATTTTCCAGATGTTCCCATTGCCTCTACTGTATGTTGGGAATCAAATATCTGGACTATTTGGGACACAGCGACTCAAGTGAGAGTTTGTTGTCCATTATTTCCCTTATTATTATAAAAATATACTTAAAAATAAAATATAACATTGTTTTTCATCTCCTAGTTTACCTATGTTTACAGTTCTGAGGAGGTTCAGTATTTTTCTCACCATGGTGTTTGAAGGTCTCTTGTTGAAGTAAGTAAAACTTCATGTTTCCTCTGCACAATTTAACCAAAATGTTAATGCACACGCAAATAGGACTGTGCAGATGGACGATGATCAGAACGATCGCCGATTGCTCATGTCTTTGCCAATGCCAAGGGCTATTTCACTTGTTTTCCCATTAATATGGTAACTTATTATTTGTAGTATTAATTTAATACTAATACTTGCAAAAACATATTGGAGTTTATTTTGTAAAAATTAATATTCGGTGTCTCTCCATACAAATACAACATAGGCCTACAACAATGCTACTACATCACAGACCAAAACAACAACAACAACAACAAGGTCTATAAAAAACAACGGACTATTAAACTGCTGGGCGGCAGCTTGTAATAAACCAAATATCTTACCTTGAGCTGCAGACAATGTGCTCCAGTAGTGACAATGACCCAAAGGTGGCCTTGGCCTTGGGTTTGGATGTCCAATGAGTTCAAATGTCAGTGTGGACATACATCAAGGGGAGGCGAGTCAGTCTCTCCTGGGTCATGGTGTTGTAGCCATGTTTTCTCGGATGAGGCCACAGAGATGTGCAGGCCCATACCAGTGTAGTGTGGTGTCACCCCTGAAGGCGATTCCCTTGCTTCCCAGGAATCTGATGGATCTGAACAGTAGTTCCCCAACGTGTCGTACACTTCCCTGCTGTTTGGCAGCAGCATCAGACAAGAGGACGTTAATCGACAGGGTGGTTGTCAGTCCTAAAACTGTCTTCATCAATCAGGTTTTTTTCCACTGTGTTCATACAAGCAAAACACACAACCTGATCACTCTCCGCCACCTCATGAAGCCACTTCAATTTAGCAAACCAAGTTGGTGTAAATGCGCGGCCGGAAGTTTCTTTCCCCAAAACGTGTGGCAGGAAAACTGAAGTTGGGTGGCTCCTCAAATGCCGCCAAGTCAGTCCTAGCCTGACTCCTGGTAGCAGCAGGCCCCTTAGTGGTGGCGGTGCTCGGGTTGATAGTCCTCTCGGTGCTGTCGGCCACGGTCTCCTCTCGGACACTAAAGTAAAACCAAACGAAGGCGACGGAGTGCTGGTCGAGCTGCTGTCCTGAGCAGGCTGGACTTCAGCTGGACTCCCTTTAGCTGGTGGTTTGCCAAAAAAATAATGCGTTGTTGCGCCATTGTGATTTAATCGTTACACTGGGCTAGCTGTCGATGCTACAGCAGCAGCGGCACATTTCGGAATCCTACCGTAGTGCTCACGTGACCCGCCCTACTCTGCCTCTGATTGGCTCGTGATCGTTGCCTTTGTTGGTTGGATCGATTGAGGAGTGAGGATGGTGAGAATGGCCCAATCCCAAACCCTGAACCCTCATAGACTTAATTGACATCACCTGGTGAGTGATTGAGTGCCAGAGGCTGCAAGACAAATAACTCCACAGTTCTGTCACTGATTCACGGTGATCTCTGTGTTTATACTGTCATATATTGTATTTTTTCTTTCTTGTAATGCTAACATTAGGGTTTGTTCCTTTCATGCTTGTTTGTTAAGTGGTCCTCTTCTATCTTATTATTTCTTTATGGCCGTTGTTTGCCGATGTTTACGCGTCCCATTATAACCATGGTAACCCCGTGTTTAATGTCAAAACGCTATGAACTTTGGGTAATTCCCTCAGGCAAAGTCTGCAGAATTGCGGACTTATGGAAAGTCTGCATAAAGGGCTCAAAATGTCCCCTGTAGAGCCCTCATACCCCTGATGGTTTGACAGTGGGACAGCCCTAAGACCCCCACCCCACGCGCAGATCGCGCAACCCTACACGCAAATAATTAATTTTAATAACTCCAACCCAATTCTTTTCCTCACAGGAAAACTTTCTCTACGCCAGTTAAAATGACAGTGTTCACCATGATCTTTGGTGCTTTTATTGCTGCCAGGTAAGACAGCCACGTGCACTGTACCCAAATGCAATCTTATCTAATTCCCAGGCAGCAGGTACGAGCATGTATCTCATTCTTAAGCGTGTTCTGTGTGTTGTAGCGCTGATTTAGCCTTTGACCTTGAAGGATACATATTCATAATGCTGAACAATGTCCTGACAGCGGCCAGCGGTGCGTACGTGAAGCAGAAACTTGACTCCAAGGTGAGCAGAGCTGCTAATCTCATGGTATGATGCTTCTTGATTAACATAAACTCTTTTAATTATATGCTGCTGTTCCTATAGGAGCTGGGCAAATATGGGCTTCTATACTACAATGCTTTGATAATGATTTTCCCTACTATGGCATACGCTTACTACTCAGGAGACTTACAAATGGTAAGATGGGTCTTCTAATACAAAATGCTAAATATAATTTAGTGTCTGATGACTTGAGATAGTGCTGAGGATCTCCATTGTCTGTGTGTGTGAGTACAGGGGTTGGACTACAACGGATGGTCTGATCAGCTGTTTGTTGCGCAGTTTGTGCTCTCCTGTGTCATGGGGTAAACTACTACCACTACCTAACTCCTTCTCCCATCATTTGTTAACAGATAGATCCCACACAGCTGCTCTTGTCTAATTCATCTCCATTTTGTCATACAGATTTATTTTAATGTACTCCATCATGCTGTGCACACAGTACAACTCAGCACTCACCACCTCCATTATAGGCTGCATTAAGGTAGGTGCCACTCTCTATTGGCTGGTAAGATTCACAGGTGCAGATGTGTGTGGTGACTCTCTCTGTGATCCCTGCAGAATATTCTTGTGACCTACATTGGAATGGTGTTTGGTGGAGATTACATATTCACCTGGACCAACTTCATAGGTCTAAACATCAGGTGAGGCAGACACACCATTGGAATGATTGTCTTGAGAAGCTGATGTTTTTCTGTCTCGGAAACAGATTTTGTCATCTTTGTTTCCCACAGCATCGCCGGGAGCCTGGTGTACTCCTATATCACCTTCACACAGGAGCAAACAAGTAAGAGCAGTTAAAATTATGACAATAATAATCCTCACTAATATTGTTCAATCAAGTTTAGTCTCCAAGGTTTCCAGCACAAGTTGACCCTGCTACTTTTCTGAAACGTTTTCCATCAAAATTAACAGAAAAAGCGTAAACCAGGGAGTCCTGATCCGACACTGAAGAACTAAGTACGTCCAGAACACATTTTATATTCTGTGAGCTCTATGTGGCTATATCCATTTTTAAACCATGTTTTACAAACACTTATGTATTTTCTGTATTTTGTCAGCACACA